ATACTCTACTTACTACTATATTAATTTGAGCGATATTGTCCACTTGCAATTAATCACATCAAATTTTGGCGCCGTTGCCGGGGATTGACTTAATCTGTTAATATTAGTGCGCTTTATTTTCTAGTTATACTTTGAATATTTAATTAGTTATTTTTTTAAAACTTTATTTTATTTTATTTCAGGTACTCCTTTAGTTCCATTTGATTTCCAACCCAAAAAAAAAGAGAGGAGAGAACGTGAGGGATTCAGACCACAAACAAACCAAAAAGAAGCAAGAAACCAGCCCAAGCAGCCAGCTCGCAGGAAGAAGAGAAGAAGAAAAAAAAAAGGCAAGGAGTGTTTCATGCAGCCATTAGGAATTTCCATTCTTATTTCTATTCCCTTTATTAAAGTTTCTTTCCAATTTCCTTTGGGTTTTATAATTAAAGTTTCTTTTCCTAATTGTGTTTGGGTTTTGTTTCCTTCTTTAAATCTATTGTTCTCTCATTATTTAAGCAATCCTTTGTCCTTGTTTGCAGGTACAACCACTTCGTTTCTGAGCATACGGTGAATGATTGGTACCCGCTCTTCAACTAGCCAACTAGTTGAATTAGAACCTGAGATTGAACAAAAGCTTCGAGCAATTCGTAAGAATAAAAAACAAGACAGAGAAAAGAAGAATCGACACGAGATGGCCCTTGTACATAAACAATGGGAGACCTTGATATCCCGACAATTCCGATGTCACCTTCAAGCATCGTTCTCCCTGCAGCTGCCAGGAATTATGAATTGAAAAATATCCACTTTAATATGATGCCTTCTTTTCATGGATTAAGTTTTGAAGATCCTTTAGCTCATATTAGAGATATTTTTAACATGGTTTCTAACATGGCTTTGACAAAGGGAGCCACCGAAGAACATCTCAGGATGAAAGTCTTTCCCTCACATTGAAAGATAAAGCAAAAACGTAGCTCAATTCCTTAAGACCTGGATTATTGACTAGCTGGACAGAGGTTCAAAACAAGTTCTTGGTGAAGTTCTTTTCGACTCAAAAAACTGATGCATTAAGGGATAAAATCATGCAATTCAGTCAACAGGCCGATGAGTCATTTTCAGAAGCTTGGGAAAGGTTCAATAATTTTTTAATACAGTGCCCTCACCATGGTTTGCTTACTCTAGTTCTCATGCGTATTTTTTATAAGGCACTAACCGTTTCGAGTAAGGCTGCAGTGAATAACTATGCAGGTGGATCTATTAAGAACAAGACGCCAACTAAATGTCAAACTTTGTTTGATACACTAGCAATTGAAACACAGCATTCTGATACAAGAGGTAAACATGCTGGAATTTATGAAATTGGTAGTTCTAATGCTTTTGCTTCTAAGGAGCAGGTTGATGCTATAACTAGTAAATTGGACGCCTTGCTTGCTATGAATGGGAGAGCACCAACACAAGAGATTTGCTCCATTTGTGCTGTTCTCGGTCATGCCACCATATCTTGTCCTCATGGGGTTGATTTTCCAGAATTTCTGCAAGAACAAGCCAACATGGTGAATACCTATAGACGTCCCGGCAATGATCCATTCTCCAACACATATACTCCGGGATGGCAGAGGCACCCCAATTTTTCATGGAGCAATACTCAGAACATACAAAAACCACCACTTGATTTTCTACCTCAAGAGAAGAAAATAAATTTGGAAGATGCTCTTACTCAGTTAACTATGTCTACTACCCAATTTATGACTGAAACCAAAACCCAACTTCAGAATCAGAGCGCTTCTATTCGGAACTTGGAGGTGCAAGTAGGCCAACTAGCTACTATATTGAGTGAAAGAAGCCAAAGAGTATTGCCAAGCCAACCTGAGCTTAATCCGAAGATTCAAGAACATGTGAAGGCAATTACACTTCGAAATGGGAGACCCATCAAAACCGCTATAGATTTGGACATAGAAAAGCACCACCAGCAGTTGAGAGATACGGAAAAAGCTGAAGAAAATAGCCTACTCGCCGCTGTGAGCTCCACCGGAAATTCAGCAAAAACTGAGCAACCACCATCCAAAAATCTCACTCCAAAATCCTATGTTCCTCTAATTCCTTTTCCGTAACGCTTGAAGAAAAATAAGAAGGATGCACAGTTCTCCAAATTTCTTGAAATTTTTAGGAAATTGCAAATTGCCATTCCATTTGGTGAAGCACTAGACCGAATGCTGAACTATGGAAAGTTCATCAAGGACATCTTAAGCAAAAAGAGACGTTTGGAAGATACATAGATGGTGGAATTGACGGAGGAGTGTAGCGCAGTAATACAAAGTCATCTACCACCTAAGCGAAAGGATCCAGGAAGGTTTTGCTATCTCAAGGAACAAAACCCTGGATCTTATTGTGCCTGGGATCCTAATTACCAGTCTACTGCTGGTAAGCAGTATTATGGCCCTGGTCGAATTTCAACTTTCTTGGTAAGTACATCTAATTAAATTATTTATCGTTTAAGTTATCAGAAAATCTTAAGTGTAACCGGTTGAATATAATTATGTGTCCGTCTATCCAAAATAGGTACATCATGATAAAAAAATATATATATTATCATGAATTATGTAGCTAGAATAATTATGTGTATTTGGGCCCCACTATGGACAGTGTGGAAAAGCAATAGGGGCGGACATGTTGACCAACCCAGACCTAGTTGCTACAGACCCTGTTATTTCATTCAAGACAGCACTCTGGTTCTGGATGACCCCTCAGTCACCTGAGCCCTCATGCCATGATGTGATCACCAGGAGATGGAACCCGTCTGGAGCCGACAAGTCAGCGGGTCTCGGTTACGGGGTCACTACAAACATCATTAACGGTGGACTTGAATGTGGTAAGGGCTGGAACGCTAAGGTGGAAGATCGCATTGGGTTTTATAAGAGGTACTGTGACTTGCTTGGAGTTGGCTATGGCAACAACCAGAAGCCTTTCGGGTCCGATCTCAATGTTATTCAATTGCCTGAAATTTTTTGTACCCAATAGTGTGTGTGTGTGGTTTTTAGTTTTTTTTTGGGTGGTTGGTGTCACTACTATTGTGACACTAAATCATGTGATGGCTAGTTATGAGAATAATTGTAACTATGAGAAATGAAATAATAATGAACTTTTCTTTTAACTTTATGCATGCAAAGAAGGTGTAGTCTAATGAAAAAGAGTTTTGACTTACATATTATTGGTCTTACGTTTGAACCCTCATGATATCCTTTATTTTTTGTCGAAACCCCCATAGCACCCTAGAGCACTTCTACCTATTTGTCATGGCAAAAGGCAAGGACAAGTAAGAGTGGTTATTGTTCAGATGAATAGTATTTACCCTAGTAAATTTTTTTTCACCCATTGCCTTGACAACCCAAGGGCAATTACTATTCACATGGGATTAATTTTATTTATATGTATGAGATTAAAAAATAAAAAATTGCTAGGTATTTATAAAAAAATTTAAAAAAAAATTCTGAATTTCTTGGATTTTTTTTCGATTTTTTCTTCATGGACGTCATGATGCCGTTAGCACCCCTAGACAACAGCTCAGGCTATTCTTGCCTTCTGGCTTGCCTAGTCTTGGTGGAGCCCACCATCTGTTCACACTATATTTGATTGGTTGAGTGTGTTTTTGCAGCCCATGGGACCTTTTGCCCTGACAATCCAAACCGGTAAAACTGCTCTTAGTGGTGCGTGTGTGAGAAATCTCCATTATCTTGTAGTTTAGATTATCATTGTATTCAAAAATAAAAAAATAAACTTCATGCATCTTATGGTAAAAATTATAGAAATCGCCCAAATTGGATTGAATTAGATTAATCACTTTGGAGTGATTAGATTTTGAATGCTTATAAAGATGGAAAATGTTATTTGGCCACCCAACTCAAAACTTTTTTTTGTCAAAAATTTCCAATTTTGTAACTATAATTAAGAGGCTTTAAAAATACATTGAGCTGAGGTTGGAATTGGTCTGCAATTTTTGGATCAAGGCAAAACCCCACTTAAAATCACAACTGTAATTTGAATTTTGATGATCTTTCTTTGTTGGGCCAAAAACCGAAAGCAAAACCTGTTATAAGCAACTGGAGTTTAAGCCCATATTCAAAAGATAAAAATCATAGAAGCTCACAGTGAAACAAAATAAAAACTCTCCATTACTAAATTTTCAGACCCATTTGTCCATGACACCTCTCCTACCTACCCATTAGGTCCATTACAGAAAATGTATATCTATATATATATAGATAAGATACTCATTGCTCTTTCTCAAGAGGAAAAAAAACCAAAGAATGAAAGAAAAAACACAAAAACAAAAAAGCTAAAAGTTGTTCCTAACAAGAACAGCAAACACTTGGAACATTGAGAGTAGTTATAAGCATCTCTCAGTGAGGGATGAGAGAACGCCCTAATCTGTGAGCCAAATTTATCTACAGGACCAAACTTTATTTTACCCTACACATCAAACTAATTCATTAGAATTTAGAAGTTGAGAAGGTTGGGCATGGGGTCAGGTTTTGAAGCCAAGGGTTATTCATTTGGGTCCAAAATGTGTCTTGGGTCCAGTCCATGCTAAATCTTGGCACTTGGAGCTCTGGCAATATGTACGTAGCAAGAGGCACTGGCGGACTCAGGAATATTTTAGCAAATGTGCAATTTTTAAAGGCTAAAAACTCTCTGTGTATTGAATATATAAGGTTTTTTTACCTAGATTGACCTTAGGTCTTTTCATGCATTTATATCATACATGAAAAATTATTTTGTAAAAATATTGACTAAGTATGAAAAATGGTTTTTCGGAATAATTATATTCTCGAGAAAAATTTTGGCAGCTTTTTTTCCTTACACATCAAAAAAGAAAACTTAATTTTATGGGATTTCTTTGTACCATATTTGACCTGTCACTCACGCCATGACATGTGGAAAGGGTATGACACTAAGGAAGGCCATGGCCAGCACTGGCAAGCCCAGTCGTACGAATCGGTAGGTCCCCTTGGTACCCACGACTGATTTTATGCCCAATGTGGCCCTGTAACCCATGCTGGCAAGTCAAGTCCTACAAACAGCAGGCGCCTCCAGCTCCATCTATCGATTGTTCACTGACCGGTTCACGGTTGACAAGTGCGTTCGGCATGCCTTGCCGATTCTACGCTTTAGAAGGCATCTTGCAGGACGTTCTCGAATTCCCTGCTAGGATATTTGCTGAGACTTGTGTCAACCCCAGAAGGCACTCCCACGAGTCTCACATCAAAACTAAGTACCAAGAAAACATCCAGCACCCTCTATAAATAGAGTCTCTCACCCCAGATACATGGTAAGACTTTCGACTTTACACTTATGCTCTTACATTGTCAATAGATTGCTCTCATCTTCTTAAACTAACCTTAACATTGGAGGGCTTTCGGCCGGTACTACACCGGTGCTTTAGGTTTCATCTACTGTTTTCTCTCTTTGGCCCAGATCCTGCATCGCCAACCGAAGAGGAACGTGCTTACCGAAGGCACATCAGGTCCCTCGATCATCCACGTCACCTGTAAGTTGCTCTTATCACTATCTATTTAGTTTTAGCAACAACAGATTGGTGCCGTCTATGGGAAGCGATTATTAATTGGCTCATATCTCTCTTAAGCGAAAATGAATATACCCTCATCCCTTTTTGCCGATGGCCCTGTCATTGGCCTCGCTAGCAGAGCGACCCCCACTCCCTCGCTCGACACACCTCAAACGGAGATGCCCGTTCGGCAAAACACTCTTGAGGCTCGAATGGAAGCCTTATAACAACAAATGGCGAAGATGCAGAAGCACAACAATATCCTCTCTTCCAAACTCAACGACACTTAGAGGCAGCTCTATGACCAGCAGTCACATTCGGCCTAGCTACAAAAAGGTCTTGAGCAAACCATGCAGGTTCGGCAGGAGTAGTTATTTAGAAGTGTGCCCAGGCCCAAGGTCCCGACAAGGGTTGGGCATTGTGATTAGGAATTCTGTTGGCCTCTTTTGTGTAGGGTTGGCCTATCCCTATTGGTGTAATTCTGCTCTCCAAGCTGAAGTGGCGGCTACGATGGCTAAGATCAAGGGTCTCCAACTTGCTTCCCAATGCGGTTACTTGGACATTGTGATGGAAACTGATTCTAAAGTTCTTGTTGATGGTGTAAAAGGTAGTGCAAGTAATCAAGCCTGGAGTATTCTGCCCCTCTTGGAAGATATTCAAAGTCTCTGCGATAACTTTCATGAGGTCCGATGGAGGTGGGTTTCTAGGAATGCAAATCGTGTTGACCACACAGCGGCGTCAATAGGTTTTGGGTATGTGGAACTGGAAAGTTGGGCCTACCGGCCACCGCAGTCTCTTATTCATGTCTTGGTCTCCGATGGGCTACCGTGCCCTCCTAGCAACTCTTTGTAAGGTCGTAAACTGAGTGAGGAAAAGCTTCATGCTGGTCTCTATCGAGTCTTGTCATGCTTTTTCTTTTTCATTCTTTGTACTGTGAGGCCTTGTCTCCTTTTGTGTGGTGGTCTGTAGTTGGATTGTTGTTTCAATGAAAAATCACCTTTCCACCAAAAAAACGAATTTGAAGGGCTCTCAGCAATGAGGCTTCCAGCAAGTGACAATTGAGTCGTAATGCTGGCCCAAGCAGAAAGGGCCATTAATTAATACTCTTGCATGTTGGGCGAGGTCATCTCATCACATCAAAATATTTATCAATTTCAATTTTAACCCAAAAAAATTAAAAAATAAAAAGACAAAATAGTTTCTCTTTATTCATTTCAGTTTCCCTCCCACCTCACCTCGCTTTCTCCTCCATCCACACACAACACAATGGACCTACGACCTTCAAGCTGAGCATCATGTAGTTAACTTCTGATAGATTCATTGTATAATAGCAATGTGGATTTGTTTCCCTCATATACAACTTTCATGTACGAGGAGTTTTCTCTTGTAAACATTGGGATTTCAGCTGTCTAGCTAGGTCAAACTGGTATAAATAGAATAATATGTTAATACTAATAATATCTTACTCTCAATTTATACTCATATAATGTTGTTTTAAAATAATTAGATATTTAAATGTACAGCAATGCTATGCTACTAACATTATCAAGTATTCACTGGTGCCTAAGAATTTCAAACCTCTACTCATATGGGTGGAGGCGGATCCGTGGACGATACCCAACTGACAATGGCTTTAATCTTAGTTAATATGTAAAATATGACATGGTTCAAAAATTATGTCATTGTATATAAGAATGATATTGACACGTGCGCCAAACAATTTTCTGGATAGATTGAGTTCTAATTAATAGCAAAATCCTAGGAACCAGACATCAACCAACTAATCCCTTTTAGCTGTGTCTACTTGGCGATGTGTCTTATGTTCTTATAGTTGATTATAACGAAGGTCTTATCATGCTTAGTATTGCCAAAAACAAAGCAAAGGGGTTTAGGCAGACAAAACCCAAATCTAAAGCAAGACGAAATTTCTTTAGGTAAACGTCAAATGATACAAAGAGAATTGGTTGTCTGGAATCTGCAAGACAATGGGGTGTAACTCGCTATTTATCTTGTCAGCGATTCATTATGCGACGATCAGACCATTGCTGTGACTGTGTGAATGGGACACATGCATTGTCCAATAGTCTTGATCTACCCACCATAGTTATAGTAAAATACAAAAATGAAAAAGTATGAATAAAATATGCAGTGGTGGAATTAAAATTTCACACATTAAGGGGTCCTTCATAATATTTGTCTTCTCTTCATAATTATCATGAATTTCATATTTTAAATTGGTTAAATATTAATTTCATCATCTACACTATTAAAGACTTAAAAATTAATAATTTATATTCAAAGAGAGAAAAGAAATAGAAAAAAAGAGAGTTCATAAAGCGTTATATTCCAAGACATAAAAATGAGGAAAATAAAAAAATTTACAAAGCTTTAAACAAAAAGAGGAAGAGGAAGAGGAAGAAAGGAAGAAAAAGAAGGTTAAAACTACATAGGAGTTTTTAGTGCAAATACCAGAAACTAACCTAGAAGATTTGAGGGAAACGAGTATAAGGGAGATCAAGAAATTTTATGGTTAATTTGTAGACAAAAAGAACCTCATATATTATTTTATTTTA